AGAACAAGGGGTTGATCGTTACCTGTCATTTGCATATTCTACTGTCGCTGTGCAGAACGCTTGCTCGTTATTGCATCGATCGAAAAATTTCGGTATCGTATATAGAATATATATCAAGAACGTCCTTTTGTATTGTGTTTGCATTATTTAACGTCAACAAAAACTAAACAACTCTTCGCGCATTTTAACACAAATTTTCTTAAGATAATTGAAAAAAATTTTCAATATATAATAAAATAACTAAATAACATGTAATAATGAAAATAATAATTGAAGATGTCAAATTTTAGATTTATTCCCTCAATTTAGCTCCCACGTGTAGCGAGTTATAAACAAAACAATTGAAATCTAACGTAAAAACTTACTGACGCGTTTTACGGATTTTGTTCGCGAGCGCGGAATAAAACTTCGCCGTTAAAAGGGGTGAAAAGAGAACTTTTCTTGCGTTGCTCTCTCCGCAACGGTCGGTCAGCAGCACACAAGGTGTATGTACAAACGGGTGGGCTCACGTATGTTCTCGTCTTTGTGCAAACGTGGGACCCCCCCTCCCATTCACGTGTACGTCGCTCGAATTAGACGCTTATTCGAGTGCAGCCACCCACCGGCCGTCAAGGCGATCGCGTATTCAGATTAGGTTCTCCCGAGGAGAAGAAACCTCTCCTTTTGATTCTGGAGATCGACGAACGGTCGTCCACCGGGCGTGAACGCACACACAAAACCCGATTCGATCGGGAAGAAGAGCTCGGGGATAAGCAGCTGTGCGTACCCGCCACGCGATTGCGTAAATTTACCTTCTATTATCATGTCGAACCAAGCTTCACGTCGTATCGTCGCCTATTTAAGATGGTAACGCGGAGCTATTATATAAAAAAAAAAAAAAAAAAATTAAACGCATGTTAATTAGAAAATGCGTACATAACGGATACAAAACCTGTTTTTATCTTGTTTTAATTTTTTGAGGGAGGAGAAACAACAACCGCGACAGAAAGAAAAAAACGCGCGAGCGGAAATTTGAATAACGACGGGAAACGTAATCGATAACTGATTACAAAATCGCGCTGGCGAGCGGTACGGTATTAGGACGAGGCAATTATTCCCCGTGGACAAGTGGTCGTAAAGCGACAAAAAACGATAAAGTGAAAATATTGTACTGCAGCGACCGGCCGAGCGAACGACCGTAATAAGCGCAATAATGTCCAATACAGCACTTGCGCTTTCTGCGCTAAGCGCGACATGTGCTTTTCGAAACACATGTGAGATACGACGCGCGCTAAAACTTCCAATACCGAACGTAATCAAGAATACGCGAACGGGCGAGAGTAACTCCGGCTCGATCGCATCATATTTTAACTCTGTTCCGTTTCCTTCCCCCCATCTCTGTTTTTTTTTTCTTTTTTTTTTTTTTTTATGCGAATCCGCGCACATCGACGGCGCAAATTCTCCGATGTGGCAGTGTGGTAGAAGAGGAAGTACGTACAAGCGAACACGCGAGACTGACCAAGCTCTCTTTTTCTCTCTTCTCTCTCTCTCTCTCTCTCTCCATCGTTCTCTCTCTCTCTCTCTCGTGTCTGATGTAAAAAAGCCACGCTCGCCAAGTTTTCTTAAGCGAGGGCGCGAGCACACGGCAAACTTGCCGCAAAAAAACCGGAGCTTTTTCGCCGTGCATCAACGCCAGCGCCGGTATCGATAGAACCCCTTTTTATATACCCTATAAAATGCATAATGTCGCTTATCAGACCGTCGTTGTGTTGTAATAAAGCGCGCATTATTACACTAACTTCGGTCTGCCTTACGACAAATTCTTTGGTCGCAATTGAAAAGAACTCTGTCTTCGAATTAAAAAAGCGAATAAACATCACTTCAAAACGAGCAACAACGCAAGTTAAGGATGCGATTAAATAATATTTTCGACGACGCGAGATCGATCGTTTTGTTTGAATTCTTACATCGTTGTTATATCTCACTTGTTAATTCATTTTTGTGATAATTTTTATGACGATTTGTAATATTTCAAATATGTATCTCCCGGAATTTTCAAAGGAGTTCAGTTTCGTCAAAAATGATATCACACTTCGAAAATGTGACTGATAATTTTTTTTATCATCGAGCGATCTACAAACAATCGCAAGCGATTACCAACATTCTATGCCGTATTTGTACAAATGTTTTTAAATAATCGTCTCTCTAATACTCTATTCATCTGAATTGCGTGCTTTTTTGCAAAAAAAAAAAAAAAAAATACATTAGCATTTGTGAGCTCGCAATTAAACAAAAAAAAAAGATTGCTCGATGTTCTAAAACTAATAATCTTTGTAATAATTGTATAACGATCATTTAAGACGATGACTTCGAAAAAAAAGTGAGCGAGAGAGATAGAGAGAGAGAGAGAGACAGAGAGAATAGAGAGAAAAAGAGGCGCGGTGAAAGAGAAAGGTTTTTCTCGCAACCGAGAGCGGCTCTCTTTCTGTCGCAATTTCGCCTTTCGCAGAAACATCGCGGACAAAACCGCGCGCTTTTTTTTGCCACGCACATCGTCGACGGTCAACGCGCTTACGCGACCCCGCCGTCCGTGCACAGTCCGAATCGGCCCGCTCGTAAGAAGCCGGCAAAAACGCAGCGCGCAATAGTTGCGCGCCGGCCACGCCGGCGGAAGAAACGACGGTGGTTTTGCACCGACGAGCCGTTTCTTGTCGAACCCGTGAGTCATGCCGCATCGCGAACGGACAAAGCACAGCGCGGTTGCACACCGAGAAACGTTTGCGCGATACACGTCAGAAGCGTCTGATAAAAAAATAAAATAAAAAGGAAAATGCGCCGTAAATGATAAAAAAAAAAAAAAAAAAAAAACAATCCTGCGTTACTGTGAAGTCGACGTTTAAGTTTTCATCGAAATGGCGGTAAAGTATCTAATCTACGAGATGCGATATTGAGATCGAAGGCGTCGTCGACACGCGTCGGAAAGTGTCAAAGTGTCATTAACGTCGCTGTGAAACATCGACGCCGAAAATACACCGATATCGGTTCAATAAAGATCCGATGTAAAAATACGTCCCCGCAAATAAAAATGTTACGATGCGAAATATCCACATTGCATCTCGCAGCGTGATAAAAATATTGTTGTGTTTTTAATGAGTGCCTTTTTGCTGTTTATTAATTATTTGCTTCGCTTGCTGCGGCTTTGTCACCTTAATGTTGCTACAGTAGAAACGGTAAACATTTTCCGCAAAAAGCGTCTCCGAGGCGTTGCAGAACGAGCCGTCGTCGTGTTGCGACACGGTAACTTCTAATCACACACACACACACACACATACACACACACAGCTTTCGTGAAATTATACACCACTTCGAGAAAATGGCGTCGATAAAAAAAATATAAACAATGATTACGTTTTTTTGACAGTTTTTTTTTTTTTTTTTTTTTTTACAAAATCACGCGCCGCGATATTTTTTACCGCGGAGACGAGAAACGGACGCGACACGACGGAAATAATTCAGCGTAAAAAGACAAAAATCGAATTGGAGATTCACGAAGAGGATAAATAAGCGGCGCAAGAAGAGGCGAGACGAGAATTTTCGAAATAAGCGACATATCGAACTCGGTCGCGGGCGCTTTTTGCGTCCCTCCACGACGCATCGAGAGTCGCGCGCGATAAAACGAAGTACAGAAAGTTAGGACGAAGACTCGGTCGCAGTTTCGTCGAGGTGGGAGAAGAAAAATCCTGTTTTTCTGGGGGCGAGATGCGAGAGCTTTTTATCGGCCGCGTGACTCATCCAGTTTTCTCGGTGAGAGAGAGAGAGAGAGAGAGAAAGAGACACAAAAGCGCACACCGATGGCCCGTGGTAGCCCTCCTCGGTCGAAACTTCTTCGCTTCGCCGGGATAGGTAACTGCTGGCGATTACGTTTCTTGCGTAAACTCGCCGAGAGAGCAGCGTTCGCAATCGAAATGCGGCTCGCGCGCGGTTTAGAAACGAGAGCGCAGATATATATATATTTATATGTACGAGTGCAGTGGCCCTTTTTGTAATTAGTTTGCTTTTTAAGAGCGAAAGAGATCGAATAGATATTTCATGCGAATGATCCGAAAACAATTTTTTAAATCACATTGAATTACGTAAAGTGATTTTTATATATATCAGTTTAATAAAAAATTTACTGATGATTGTCTTCGAGATAGCATTTTTCCTGTTTTCATCAACTTTTTCTGAGGATTTTTCACATTTTCTTCCCCGAAACAATATCTGGGGCAGTGCAATTCAGCTTGAAAATCAAAAGCGACGTCAACAAATGCTTCTGTTTTTTTTTTCTCTCGACTGCATTTTCGGCAACAAGAAGAAGAGCCGCGCGGAGCCAAGTCGGGGAGAATATCAGAGAAACGTTGGAGACCGTGTGGATTTTTTTGTCAAAAACGTGCTGGCGCACGCAAGTCTGGTTTCTGCATCACGACGTCGAAAATTTGCTGACGTTACACGCCGAGATTCAAGCGAAATTGCAGAAAACAACTCAAAGCTTGGCGTTGAGGAAAAGAAATCAGGAAGTCGCTCCCATTACAAAGTGTGAAGAACAACGGGCCAATATGTTAACTCCACATTGAGAAGAGAGAATTATCATCTGTAATAAATATGATATTTTCTCCGTTACAGATTTACCAGAATTTTACGAAACTTTCAGACCTGGTGCTTTTAAATTTTGCTTAAAAGAAAACGTGCATCTTGAGATACTCGGTGGAGCTATCGAATTTTCCAATTGTTCTTATTTTGTTCTCTGTATTCACCGCACTTATGAGTCGCACGTATTCCGAATATGCCTCACAAATACATATATTTGTCCTAATTCAAAACTCTTCTTTTGCGCGCGCTTTAATTGTATATTCTTGTACAATTATTACAAAAACGCGATTAAGTTACTACACATCATAGTCTTCGATTCCTACAATTCAACTACATTTAAACGGAGGAGATTAAATTGCGGAGCAGATTAAATAAAATTAAACACAACTTACAAGTTCCGTTGACGTTCCTGCTGAGTATTCTGGGCAGAGCGGCGACCGGCACACCGGCCGGCTGTTGATGATTGCTGGAGGGGCTCGCCACGACGACGACTGGATTTTGCGGGGTGCAGGGTGCAGACGCAAGCGTCGCGGCGACGGTTCCGCCACCACCGCCAACGCCNCGCCACCGCCACCGCCACTGCCGCCGCCACCACCGGCGCCGTTGCTGGTAGCGGTCACGACGACGGTGCTCGGCGTCGAGGACACCGGCGAGGGTGTCGCGACACCACGCGTCGTCGCCACCGGCGTTTCTTCCGCAACCGAGGACGACGTACCGACGACCACGCGCGCGTCCATCGCAACCACCGGTGCTACCTGGAGGAGCGGCGGCACTCGCTCACAGCACCGCGGCGAGCACGGGCTTCCAGGTCGACCGCGCGCGCTGCCGCCAGCATCCAACGAGGCGCATTCGATCGCCGCGCTTCCGCCCCGAAAAAATAACCGGAATACGCGACCGAACAGATGTGCAAGCGGCAATTTAAAGCGAATTTCAAAATTCGCACTCTCGACGATGATGATTATTATTATTATTATTCTGTTATCGCGCGCCGCGCGAGTCGCCGACGATCATGATCTCGATTCTCTACGTCGATCGATATCGATTGAAGTGGAAAATTATAGAATCGAAGGAAGAACGAATTTTTGAATGCGAATTTCACGGATTTTCCGCGAACGGACGGAAATGTGTTCGCGTGCGCGTGACGGAACGAATAAAAACGCTATACGGACGGACGTACAGAAGAGAAGAGATCGTAGCCGTGTATGACAGAGAGAGCGGCACCGACACGCTTCGAACGCTGGCGCGGTACACATTGCGCGCCGCGCGGCGATTACGCGACGTGTCTCTCGTGTTTGCCCCTCTACCTCGACGGCACCGACGCTCCGAAAGAATCGACGGTGCGCGCGACGGTTCCTCAACTCTTCATTGAAGCGGTTAACACTTTGCCCGCCATTTCACCTATATACTACGTGTGTGTGAGTGTGTGTGTGTGTGTGTGTGATGCGCTTGACGATTGTTTACTATTGATTTACAAATATATTAATACGTTCTTTTTTCCTATAGAATGCCTGATAAAAAAAAAAAAAAAACAATAGATAAGAATTTGAATTCGCGCAAGTATTTTTTAATTTCACTCGGTATTTCTCTTTTTTGTTTCTGATGATCGAATACCAAAAAAAAAAAAAAAGTAGATCTGTGGAAAGAGCAAAACGTGTAAAAGAAAAAGTTCTGAAACTAGGACAGCTCTATCATGGACGAGACATAGTAAACAAGAGTAATTACGTCAATGCTCGAGAAAGAATAGTTGTGGGCAACACAGACGTGTTGCTTTTGTTCGCGTCTTTTATTTACTTTAAACATAATTTTAGAACGTTAACAAAACATCAGTGAAAAGATGTAGATCCCTTTGTGTAGTTTTTATCAAAAAAAATAAATAAATAAATAAAATTGTTAATAGATACGTGTAGAATGTGTGCAATATTCTTTTCCAGAATGAAAACACGTTTTCTGCCGAATATTGAAATTGCATGAGTACGTTTGAGGATAATGCGTCGCGCGCACACGACGCGTCGCATTAGGACGCGCGTCTTATGAGAGAGTCAAGGAGCAAGAAAAATCTGTACGCTTCTGCCCGCGCGGATTAATTAGCATTGTAGTCTAGCGGATCGCTATCCTCTACCGGGGGGTTAAGATCTAAGGTTTGAGGCACGCCGCGATCTCGTTCACCGCACGACGAACCATCCGAGACGTGAGAGGCGTGGCTTAATCGCGAATCGGCGGTCGGAGGTCGCATTCTGTGCAGACTCTGACACACAGCAGTCCAGAGGAACGATGCGAAAACCGTGATGTCCCCTTCCTCTCCACTGTTCGTCTTACCGGTGTCTCGTCGTAGTGTACATAAGCTCCTCCCTGGCCCTCGTGGCGGTTGTTGTAAAAACGCGCCCCTGCCTCACGCCGCCTTTGCCAACCGGTGAACGAACGATCGAGGAAGGGGGGAAGGAAGAAACGAGACGACGGGAAGGGCGCGCAGTAAAAACGCATCTTCCCTCGTGCCCCTTTCTCTCTTTCTGCGCCCCCTCTCCTTCCCCTCTAACACACTGCACCGTGCAACCCCTGTGGATACATGTCTCCCCATCCTGCTGTCTGCACCGAGGAACCGACATTTTTGCAGGGTGGTACCCGAACCCCCGGCATGCGGGTTCCCCTGTAAAATTCACGTCCTACCCTGGAGTCTTCCTCCCCAGGTTTTCCGCGTGTCCTGGTATGTATTTGGACGTTTCAGGTCGGGCAGAAAAGGGTTACGGAATCCACGATGGAGAATGTTTACCCAGATAGTCTTTGTGTATCATCAGAAGAGAAGAGGAAGCAAAAATGTTGAAAGCCACTAAAATAATTGTGAAGAAAATACGTGAAGATGTTACAAAAAGAAACTCGTAAAACTAAATAAAATGTAAGACTTAAGTTTTCTCTGAAACTCTTGCGACTTTTTTTTTAATTTCTTACTATTATATATATATATATATATATATATATTACATTCTGTAATGAATATTGAATCAAATTGCAGAATTGTGGCATCTCTCTGTAATGTGAATTTTTCGAAATCTCACATTCCGGAATCTCGGTTTTTCGTCTCAAACATTTCGCTCGTTCTCCTCTCTCTTTCTTTTCACCACCCCTTCATCGCTTCTCACTGCCGCGGACTGCTCTTTTTCCTTCTTCGCCGACATCGCTACGATTCTTTTTGCCGCCCCGCAGTTCGCCGCTACCCCGCACTCCTGCCTCTCTTATTTTTGCCTCCCTCCTTCCCGTTCATCCCGACTGCGTTTTCTTCCCTCCACCCCACCGTTCCTCCCACAGCCTTTCTCCGGACCGGTAGGAAAAGCGCGAGAGACTTTTATTTTCGCATGTAGAAAAAGCAAGGCGGAAAGGGAGGTTTTGCCGGCAGACCGTTACTGCGAGGCGGACGTTTTTTGCGACAGGAGCTCCGTAATCCGTGAAAGGGTGTGAGAGAACGCCGGGAGAAACCAAAGGCGCCGCGACGCTCGTTCGCTCGCTCGCTCGTTCGTTCGTTCGTTCGTTCGTTCGCGATTTGCATAGAGCGGGAACGCGATTCGAACACTCGTGAGACCAACGTTTGCTTTGCGCCGCGCGACTGCATCACAAGGTGGATGCATAGGTTGAAATATACATATATTGTTACACGTAACCGCGTTTACATTATACAAGTAGTAATACATTATTGATCCAATTGGAATAAAAAAAAAACATACATTAAAAGGATATATAACATCGATTTGTACGAACCATCATTTTTGAGTGCGTCGAAAGTAATAAACACTTCTCCTCGTATTTCCACAAAGTAAGCAATATATCTTTCGGTTATCTCGATGACTATTTATCTCTTATTTAATTGGTTTTTGGCGATTTAATTGGTTTCTGTCTCTCTGAAAATCGTACGAACAATATTTATTTAGTAAAAACTACAATATGTAAATTTCTTGCAAAATTAAAATATCACGTAATATAAATTATAATAAATTATAATAAAACTATAATTTTGAGAGCGATAAAAAGAATAATCTACACATTGTGAAAGATAAATAATCAGTGTAACGTATTAAAAATTATATTTTATAGTCACAGAATGTATGTAATCTCATCTAAAAGTTATGCAAAATACATCACACACACACACACACACACACACACATATATACAGGGTGTCCCAGAATAGCCGTACAATCTCTCGTAGGCAGATAGAAGGAATAAAACTGAGTCGAAAAGTCCTGAACCATTTTTTTCTATTATTTATAATAAAGGAGTAATTATTGAGTAAATCAGGCCAATCAGCG